AGTGAGATTTATGGGGGTGGGAGGAATAGCCCATATTGATCAAAGTGAACACTTTCTCAGTGTTGTCCTTAGTTTGCTATAACTGGATACACTCAGGGATCTTTTTGATCAAACAATGGTCCTATCCGGCCTCGTTTCAAATTTCTGTTTTGAAAAAGGCATTTCTAAGTGGAGTTTGATTTCTTAAAATGTGTAAGTTTGAGTGTTGGTGTTTCCTTAGTTTTAGCAAGCAATAACATTTCCCATAGTGGGCGTGTCACAGTGTGAGAGAGGGAAGTGCGTCTTGAATTTCAAGAATTAATAACCTTTGGTAATAATGTTTAAGAAATTTAGGGAAGGTTTGCGCCTTTTGTTTACTTCCCGGAATTATTGGCCGTACTGAGTTTTTCTCTAAATCTGTGTGTCTGTGTGCATATATAAACTTTTATATTAGCATCGGTTACTTATCATCTCACCTAAGAGCACTTTTTGTGTAAATTGCATCATAGAAATGCTACAGTATTTCCTATTCATGAATGTTGCTTCTGACTATATAGAGGTCTGCCATAGTTGTATGTTGAAATGTTGGAATATCTTGGACTTCAAGAGACAGTCCTTCTGTTTCCTTTTTTGTTTTTTAAGATTTTATTTATTTATTTGTCAGAGAGAGAGAGCGCACAAGCAGGGGGAGTAGCAGGCAGAGGGAGAGGGAGAAGCAGGCTCCCCGCCGAGCAGGGAGTCCAATGCGGGGCTCGATCCCAGGACCCTGGGAACATGACCTGAGCCAAAGGCAGATGCTTAACCCACTGAGCCCCCAGGTGCCCCTCCTAAATTTTTAAGTTACTTTTCCTTCAGCATAATCCTGCTGACTACTACCAGCTGAGAAGTTTTTTTCTCAATCTTATATTTAAAAATGTATCATCAAATTCTTTTCATCAAGATCTTGGATCGGTAAAAGGTGACGTTGTAAAACAAGCACAGTGTGGTAGAGACAGGCCGCATTGTCTCTCTCCTGCCGTGTTGCTTGTCAGGTGCCCACCTTGATCTTCCGGAGAGCTGCAGGACCGGTGGACGCGGCTGCCCCGCCCGCTGCTGTCTGTGAGATTCTGTGCTGCAGGCACGGCCCCTGGGGATGGGAGGGTCCCTTACCTTCAGACAGACTAGCTGTTTGCTGGGATTGGGTGGTGGGCGGGTATGGAAGGGGATAAGGAAATGCCCAGGGAAGAACACATCTGCAGATCATCCACTCTGGTAATTCACTAGGTAACTTTCATATTTGGAGCAAAATTTTGTGATAGATGAGTTAGAAAAAGGAGCAGAAATTTTGTGGAACAGTCATCGAAGGTCAAGGTGGAGAGCGCAAACACATTAGCTACAAGGCAGCTTTGGGAAGCAGAAGGTTCTATAAACACAGATGCTCAGTGCTTTAAGACGTGGCCTCCTCCTGCTCAGGGCCGCCTGACCCCTGGCTGGGCGCCAGCGATCCCCAAGGGACAGTTTGGAATGGCAGATGTAGAACCAGGGTCCAGCATGCAGACGGATGGGCAGAACAGAGGGGGAGTCTTCCAGAAGCCAGGAGAGACTGCGTTTCAGGGGCTCACTCTGGGAGGGGCCCCTTCCATACCCTGTACTTAACTTTGTATTCATACTTTTTCCTGAACAGAAAGCGTCAGTCCCCACGCTGTCTGGCTGGACCCCTAGCTGGGCTCTCTGAAGTGGAGGTGTGAGTGGGGCTGAGTGCATATGGGCACAGGCACCCCCACATTTTTCGGGATACAGTCTGTAGTCTTCACTGGCTTTTCAAAGCCATGTGCGTCTCAAAAATCTCAAACTTGGGCCGATGAGACATGAATTAGCCTCTCAAGGATGGTCTCGTAAATCCAAATTTAAGAAGCTTTAATCTCTAGGGGAAACACCTTAGGATTCCTGTAGACTCGTTCCCTGCACCCATCACAGGACACACAGGTCACGAGAGACACGGAGAGGCACGTTTTTTAATCATCTATGTGTCCTGTCCTCTGGAATGTGCACTCCCATTCACTCACTCGGTCACATTTAAACACTTCCCGGGTCCCCGCTGTGTCCCCGCTCCATCCCCGCAGCCGCAGGGCCAAGCCTGAGGGTGAAGTAGACAGAGAGCCTCGCTGCTTTGAAGAACTCTCATCCCTGATGTCATTGCAGCAAAGAAGAACTACGTTCTCTCCGGAGGCTGGCTGCTGGGTCCAGATGAGGGCTGTCCTTGAGATACTGAGACTACTTTTAGGCAAACTAAAAGTTTGTCAGCATATTCTTAGCTCCAAAGTATCACACAGAAAGCCAGATTCACGAGAGAATGGTCCCCTGAGGCAGGGGCAGCTTTGGGTGGACCTGTGAGCTCTGGTGACTGTCCCCGCCCCCGCAGGGAAGAAAGCTCGTCTGTTCCGCTGCGTGCCCCCTTCTCGAGGGATGGACACGAGCAGGGGGTCGGTTCAGATACCTGTGGAGCGCAGAAGTGAGCCCTAATTTGACTGGCACCGGATTGGCAGATTTATCCGGTGGTTAGCAGTTTGTTTCTCGGTTTTTGATTTTGACTTTGCAACGAGTCTCCTAGCATCAAAGCAAGAATCCTAGCACGTCTCTCACATGGAAGCATTAGCCGGTGGAAACTGGATTCTGAAAGTTATTTTCATTTCCCCCTTCGTATTCTCTATACCTCTCGTTACTCACTCATCTGAACTCAGGTCCTGTGGGTTCTCCATCAAAAGTCCGTGGTCCCTCCTTCTCCAGGGGTACATCTGCCACCATCCTAACATAGATGCTCATCACCTTCCGCCTCGACTCACCACTGGATCCTCTACTCCCGTTCTCTTCCCTCCCTTTGGTGCACCCTGTGCCTTCAGGCCACTGTTTCCTTCTGGAAGGTACGGTTTCCTTGCATCTACTGTGCACGGTGAGCTGCAACTCCCAGTCCCCACCCAGAGGACGCAGGTGTCAACAAGAGGGTCTTAGGGAGCTTGGAAGGAAGAATAAGCAAAATAAAATAGTTATTGAAACATGTTTTGTGCTGCTGTGGGTTTCTTGTTCTTCCGCAGATATGCCTTATGCTGTCCTGTCTCTGGGTTGCCCCCTCGTCCCCCCACATTGTTCCTCGCGTCCACACCCTCCTGCCCGCTTCCATATCCATCTCTGAGTGGTGTTTCAGGTCTCAGCAGGGGAGGCAGCAATTCTAAAGCCTGTAGATAAGACGGAGATCTTATGTAATAGAATTAAAGTTATGCTTTGAAAAGCTAGAACCGTCTTGAGACAGCCAGGTCCCCCCTCCCCACACCTCTGCACACACCCCCCCCCAGTAAAAAGCATCAGGGAACACAGACTACCAGGAAATTAGTGCGGTGGGCCTGTCCCTGTGGCCACCGACACCCTTCAGCTCCCTCTTCATGTTTGGGGCATCTTGGGACTCTCCACCCGGAGGGATATGTTTGCAGAATAAAACAGCTTCCATAGTTTTCCTCTGTCATTCTCTTTTTTTTGCTGAGTAGATATGGTTCCATCTCCCAAAGGTACATTTTTTATATGATTCCACTCTACATAAATGTTATGCTTCTCCTTAAACTAACTCTCTCTCTCTTCCTCTCATATATATTTTGTGTATTATCTGGAAAATCATGAACTTGGCCTGATACTTCAAGGCAAAGAAATGTGATTTATTCATACCTAACTTGGGGCTACCTGGCCCACAGTGGGTGTTTGAATGTGTCTATGCTGGAGAAGTTAGTACGCGATCGCTTCTTCTTACATCAGGCTAAAAAGCGTCTACATGGCAAAGAAAACCATCAACAAAGCAAGCAGACTACCTGAATGGAGAAAATATTTACAAATCATATATCTGATACCTGATAATATCCAAAATATATAGAGAACTCCTATAACTCACTAGCGAAAAAACAATCTGATAAAAAAATGGGCAAAGGATGTGAGTAGATACTTGTCCAAAGAAGACATCCAGTTGGTCAACAGGTACACGGAACATGCTAAACATCCCTCATCATCAGGGAAACACAAATCACAACCACCGTGAGCTATCACCTCCCACCTGTCAGAATGGCTGTTATCAAAAAGGCAAGAAATGACAAGTGTTGGCAAAGATGTGGAGAAAAGGGCAGTGTTGCAAGAGAATGTAAATTGGTGCAGCCGCTGTGGAAAACAGTATGGCGGCCGCTCAGAAAATTAAAAACAGAAATACCATATGATCCAGCAGTTCCTCTTCTGTATATTTATCTGAAGAAAGGGAAAACACTCACCCCTGTGTTCGTTGTAGCATGATTTATGGTAACCAAAACATGGAAACAGCCTAAATGTCCGGTCTCTTTATCCAAATAAGATGTGTAATATATATCCTGTGTGTGTGTGTGTGTGCATGTGTCTGTATTTGTGAGTCTTACTCAGCCATAAAAAAGAGAGACATCTTACCATTTGCAACAGCGTGGATGGACCTTTAGGGAATTACGCTAAGTGAATTAAGTCCGAGAAGGACAAATGCCATATGGGCTTGATTATATGTGGAATCTAAAAAAAAAAAAATGGAGCTCATAGATCTGGAGAAGAGATTGGTGGTTGCCAGAGTGGGGGTGTGGAGAGGGTGGGCGAGGTGGGTGAAGAGGGTGGAAAGGTGGAAACTTCTAGTTACAGCACTGAGTAAGCTCTGGGGGTATCAAGCACAGGGCGGTGACTACAGTTACTATGTTGCATATTTGAAAGTTGCCAAGAGGAGATCCTATACGTTCTCATCAAAAGAAAAAAGATTATGACTATGTGTGGCTCTCAACATTATAAGCAGCCCTACTGTGGGGGTCATTTTGGAGTCCATAAAACACGGGATCCTTCTGCTGCCCCCCTGAACTAATAACAATGTTCTATGTCAATTACATCTCAGTAAAGACAAAAAACCTTCCTTGAGAGACTCATGCTTGACTGATAGTCACAGTAGGCCTGTTCTGTATCTTAAAATCACATTTTTCCCCTCTATGTTTCCATCTTCATAGGACTTCAGAAAAAGGCTTGGGACTCACCTGAGCTCAGTGCCCCACACTTCCACGGTTCGGCGGGACCCTGTGAGTTCCAGAATGGCGCTCCACTTGCAAAAGCTCCGTGGACACTCTGCACTGGGGGTGTCTGTAGGCCTGGCTCTGTTTGCCCTCCTTCTGGCTCTTTTGGTCAAAGTCTATAATTAAAGCACAACTAATGGAACCATTTGTGAGGAAGACTACATTTCTAATTAAAATCTGTACCGAACAGAAAAGCAACCACATCAGTCCTCCAGGAGCCGGAATTTACACTGGTCTCTGCCCCCGAGTCAGCCGTACTTTTTATGAGGCTTACCCTGTCTCCCATCACGTTGGGCCATCCGTTATTTGACATGACACCTACTAACTATTGCCGTGGCATATCTTTCACATTAAGCTCCTTTCAGTTTATCTGCAGCAGGAAATGGTTGCATTTTTCTTCAAGCCTCCAGTCTTCAAGTCAGAGCTTAATTGGACAGTGGATCCGGTCATCTTTTCCTGACGTGGGAAGAATTTTGAGTCTTCAATAAACATTTAAAAATGTATCTTTCTCTGGATGCTTTGTGTGGAGTCCCAATGCTACAAACAGCTTATTTTCCACAGTAGATGTGGTCCTGGAAAGTTTATAGGGAAACCTGTGTTTGGAACAAGACTTCTCTCCGAATGCACAGGGAGAGTCACCAAGTAAAGGACTCTCGGTGACATTTTGAGAAGTGTGGGGAGTTACCTGCTTCTCTGGCAGCCACGAACTTCCAAAAACTGGATTTGTCTCACACCAGCTGTGCCCCTTCTCTGATGGTTCTGATCGATGACATCAAATGATTCTCTCTACCTGATATCACTGGCATTTACTAAATACAATGATTTATTTCACAATAAAAGGATTCGATGTACTAAGTGATCCTATGAACACCAGAATTTAAATGTTATCTGGATCGTATTGGCCCAGGGGAATCAGGTGCCCTCTGGTTACCGTAGGACATTTCATCTTTAAACCCACACCCCCGTTCAGCTCCTCCTTTTAGGTGTCTTTTAAGGAATCCAAATTATAATTTATGTCATTGGTTGGTGAGCTAACAAAACAAACAAGCAAAACAAAGCTAGTGTTAGTACATGTGTGCTTCTAAGAGGAATTCACATTTCCAATGCAGATGACCTACCCGGGCCCATCCCAGAGCCCCCCAGGGGGACGTGCATTTGGGATGCTTATGAGTCACACTGTGTGGGACATAAGAAGAGCTTTGTGCCCCTAACTGACCAGAGATGAAAAGGGTGTTCGTCCTCCCCATCTCACCCTTCCCCAGTCTCCCTCTTACCTCTCCCCTATTTCATCCCCTCCTGCCCTTTAAGTTGTTCTTGCCTCCACTCTGCTCTCCTGAGCCGTCCTTCCTATGAACAATGAGCACACCCAGCCATCCAAAAGCCCCACTGCCCATCCCCCACTGTGGTGGGGGTTCTCAAGGATCGTTTCAGCCATACAGGGTCACCCCTGCCACCTCTCCTGTTTCTGACCCCAAGTTGGGCTGCAGCTTCATTTTGCTCAGAGGTTCAGAAAATACAAAAGTCCCATAACAGGAACCAGGTCATGTGCAACATTTGCCGTCCTGGTGAGAGTTGGCTAGATGGGGGCTAGGGTCTACACGTCCAGCTTGCCTTTTCCCATGACCTCCTGCAGGAGGGAGAGAAGGGGGAAGGGTGTGTTTGTTGCTGACAGTGCAGTTCTCTTGTGGACAGGATGAGCCTGGGAGCCCTCTGAGCAAGTGTGGTCATCAGGAAGGCCGTCCCCTTTCTACCTCCTCTCCTTCCTGCCCATGGTGCTCCTGCATGTCTCCTATCCCCTTGGAGTTGGGCCTGGCCTCGTGACCTGTGTCGGCCAGTGCAAGGGGAGTGGAAGGGTCAGATCTTCGAGGTCAGATCCTCGATCAACATCTGTTGAAAGAGCCAGGGTACAGTCGCCATATGCTCTTCCCGCCACATCAGGACGAAGCTGTCCTCGGCCTGAGTCCTCCGAGGGAGTGCGAGGAGCAGAGCCCCACACCAGCACGTGCTGGAAGTGGATAAAACAAGAAAGGAACTTCTTTTGTGTGAAGCTGCTGTCGGCCTAGAATGACGTAGACCATCCTGATGCGTACGGAGTCAGCCATGACAGGATGGTTGACTGGCCATTTGTGAATGCAACGCTGATGTGCCTCAGATTTTCCCTTAGTGCCCAAATCTTTTTTTCCTTTTTTTTTTTTTTTAAATAGTGACTCTTCCTGCTGAAAAGGAAGCTATGAAGAGACCTGTCTTGGTTCATTCCAGCTGCTATAACAACACCATCGACCGGGTGACTTATAACCCACAGAAATGTATTTCTCATAATTCTGGAGACGAGACAGGCCAAGGTCAAGGCGCCGGCGATTTAGTATCTTGTGAGGACTCACCTCCTGTTCCAGAGATGGCCGAATGCTTATGCACCTCACGTGGCAGAAGGACGGTGTCCGTGTCTCGCGAGGGCACTGATTGCATTGCTGAGGGTCCCACCCTCCTGACCTAGTCACCTCTCAAAGTCCCCACCTCGTACATCACATTTTTAAATAAAGAAGTTTTATTAATCAAGTTTTTTTCCTCTCTCCTTCCCTCCTTCTCCCTCTTTCGTTCTGCCTTCCCTGGTTCATCCAGTGGGAGATAGTCAGTTGGATAACGGAAAAAAATTCTTTGGTGAAAACTTTGCTTTGTTGCTAGAGAAATGTGTCTAAACACCAGATTTCCATATGTCTTTCAGTCAAAACATATGCTTTCCTGTTGACTTCAGTCCAGGTTGAAGATTTCAGTCATGGGGAGAGAATTGGAGTTACAAATGAACCTCGAGTTTTATCATCATAACACAAACATAGAGGAAAGTAAAGGAAGGGCAAGAGGGAGGGAAGGGAGGAAAAGAGAGAAAGAAGAGAAAAAGAAAGAGGGGGGGAAGATATTCTTAAGATTTGCCTGGGCCCTAAGGCACCCCAGGATATTTTAAACATCTGAGGGAAACCGTGACATCTGTCAGATACCATGCAAAGTAGTCGCTCAAAATGGTTGGATTTCAACATTGGAATGCACACTTTTCCATGATGCTGTGTCTAAGACTGGATTTTAGGCAGTTGCTGTGACAGAAAAGCAAGTATCAAGTGAAAATGTGGAACAGGAACTGAAGACGATCTTATATCATGGTTTGAGAAGTTGTGCAGTGCCCAACAGATGCACATGTTCCATTAATACGTAATGATGGTAATTTTAGAATAAAACAAAAATATATTTATTTCAATTTAATTGTATTACTTTTTTCACACAAATTTTTGTAAGGTATTTAAGACACAAGTATTTATTAAGTTGTTAGTACCTTGCTACTTAGTCAACAGGATGGTTAGCTCTTTCGGTTGGCCTAGGTATGGCATGAATCAAGAAAGCTTGAGAACCTCAGTTCTGTGGTGTGACCTATTTAGAGGACCCATGCCAAATTTATATTTAAGCTGAGGTCCTAATTATTTCTCAAAATATTTTTCTTTCGTTTTTTAATTCATTAATAGCACATGTTTAATAAATTTGCACCTGCCTAACCACCAAGCTAGAATTTATGGTGTTGAAACTGTAAAATTTAGGGTGCCTGGGTAGCTCAGTCAGTTGAGCGTCCAGCTCTTGGTTTCAGCTCAGTTCATGATCTCAGGGTCCAGGGATCGAGCTCCATGTGGGGCTGTGTGCTTAGTGGGGAGTCTGCTTGGAATTCTCTCTTTCCTTCTCTCTCTGCACCTCAGCCTTCCCACTCGCTCATGAGCATGTGTGCTCGCTCTCTCAAATAAATAAATCTTTAAAACAATTAAGGAAAGAAACTATAAAATTTGAGTTACGGAACCATCAAGGAGTCAAGGATCTGAACCAACTGGATTCAGACCTCAGTAGTTTCCTCAGACCTCAGTACAGACTGGAGGCGGATTGTTTAGGGAAAGAGCAGAAAGAGAGGTTTTTGACATCAGCAAACGTTTGGTTTAAGTTGTAGCCAGGCCACTTTCTGAGCCTCATCTGTAAAATAGAGAGACAGTTCTCCTGCAGGGTCACTGGAAGATGAAATGAGATCACATGTATCAAGTAGTATGTCCTTGGCAACCATAATTTTTTCCCCTTTCATGATTTACTTTAGCCATTTAAACATGAAAACCAATTTTATAAATAAGGTTAGGTGGTTTTAAATTCTGATATTAACACACGACCACCCAAAAGAATTATATATGGAATAAAAAGAGTCCTGCCCCAAGGGACATAGAGTCTAATTCTAACAAATGCAGCAAAGGAAGAAAAATTCAAAGAAAATGGGTTGCAGCTGTATTTTAGGAGATCAAATTAATGAATGGTGTGGGGCACAGATTTGGGTGGCCGGTCTAAGATCAAGAAGGAGATTTTCCATGGCCAAAGATGAAAAGAGCAAGCAGATTAATGGGAGACCTAGCAGTCATGCCCTCCCCCACCCTGCCTTGGGGGTAAAAGGAAATGCAGACACTATTATTTTTCATTAGTTTTCTGTCAGTTATTTCCTACTAGTACTTGGGGTTCTGTAGCCAAAATATCCCAAATGTGTAGAGGTTGAAGCAAAGAGTTTCATTCAATCTCTTATAGTCTTCCTAGTTAATGGACATCAGAATATACTTATAGATACTAATGAGGCAAGTGCCCAGAAAAAAAAAATCTATTTATGTAAATATATATATTTATGTATTTCATATGTAAATATACATATTTATGTATTTCATATATAAATATATTTTTAAAACCCAACCTTGGATTAAGGTAAGAGAAAACTTGAAATTCAGAAAAGCCTAAAGAACTAAAAATTTTAACTCTTAGGTTTATCTAATCTGCTTTTAATATGCCTACTTAATCTAGTATCTACAGATGTTATTCCAGGCTGTCTGATCCCAAGTTTCAAACTTCTAACTTCTGTTTTTACCCACAGTTCACATAAAGAGGAATAAAACATGTGGTTCTTAAAGAGACCTGGAGATTTTCAAATAGATATAAGGCATGTTGTTGACTTGTTATACTTGGGTCCAACCTTTGTGAACTGAAGTATACCATCCTCATACTATAGGCATACGTAATGAGGCTAGTTACAAACTACAGCTTACTTTTAAATTGAGTATTATCTCCCTTGAAGAGTCAGTTTGGAATGACTCTGATATGACAGTCAGTCTTGAATGTAGCTCCTGGTGCTATCTTGTGAGTCTCTGCCCTTGCAGGAGGAATTTGTGTGATGCCTTTACTCTTACAGGTATGATCTGTTTTGAAATAGCCGGAAGTAATTTAAACATATCTGGTAAGGATTGCCTGGGTAGCTCAGTTGGTTAAGCATCTGCCTTCAGCTCAGGTCATGATCTCTGGGTCCTGGGATTGAGCCCCAAGTCAGGTTCCCTGCTCAGCAGGGAGTCTGCTTCTCTCCCCACACCCCCAGCTTGTGCATGTTCTCTCTCTCTCTCTCTCTCTCTCTTTCTCTCTCTCAAATAAGTAAATAAAATCTTAAAAAAAAAATCATATATGGTGGGTGAAGATTAGATTGAACTAGTTGTATCAGCAGGGGTCCCTAGGAAAATTCTTTTGTGGACCTTGGCACTCTTAAGAAAATGCCTTGCAGTAAGACTTTCTTCCCTTAAACCCTAGACTTTGCCCTGAAAAAGGCATGAACAAAGAAAAGTTCTGGAGCAAGTGGCTTCACAAACGTATAAAGAATAATTAACACCAGTCCTTTTCATACACTTTCAAAAAATGGAAAAGGATGGAACACTTTCTAACTCATTCTAGGAGGCCAGCATTACCTTGACATTAGAGCCAAATAAAGATACCACAAGAAAAGAAAATGGAAAACCATGTCCCTTATGAATGTGAATGCAAAAATACTTACCAAAGTATTAGCAAGTTGATTTCAACAGCATATTAAAAGGATCATTTACCATTATTTACCATGATCTAGTGGGATTTATCCCAGGAATGCAAGGATGGTTCAACATAAAATCAATCAACATTATATATCACAGTTATAAATTAGAGAGGAAATAGAAAACATTTGATCATCTCAACTGACACAGCAAAAGCATTTGACAAAACCCAACACCCTTTCATGACAAAAACTTCTTAGAAAACTAGGAATGGAAGGGAAATTCCTCAATGTGATTAGCAGCATTTATGAAAACCCACAACTCACACCATACTCAGTGGTAAAAAAAAAAACTTTAAGTTTTACCCCTAAGATCAGGAACAAGACAAGGATGCCCGCTTTCACTGGCTTCTGTAAAATATTATACTGGAGGTGCAGTGAGAGCTATTTGCCGAGAAAAATAAATAAAAAGTACCCAAATAGGAAAGGAAGAGGTAAAACTACATTTGTAGGTGACATGGTCCTATGTATAGAGAATCCAAAAGAATTCACAGAAACCTGTTAGACCTAATAAATTTGGCATAGCTGTAGATTATAAGATCAACACACACAAATGAGTTGTGTTTCTATACACAGACAATGAACCGTTAAAAAAAAAAAGGCAATTCTATTTATGATAGCATCTAGACATTTAAATACTGAAAAATTAATTTAACCAGGGCGGAAAAGACTTGTATGCTGAAAACTATAAGCCACTGGTGAAAGAAATTTTTAAATATATAAATAAATGTAAAGATATATCCCATGTTCACTGAAAAGAACACTTAACATTGTTAAAACACTACCTAATGCAAGCTACAGATTCAAAGCAATACCTATCAAAACAGCCTTTTTTTTTTTTGCATAAATGGAAAAACCAACCTTCAAATACATATGGAATTGCAAGTGGCCCCTAATTGCCAAAACAGTCTTGAAAGAGAAGAACAAAGTTCAGACCGCCTGCGTCACTCAGTAGGCTGTATATCAGTAGGTTGTGTAGATTCTTGATTTCAGCTCAGGTCATGATCTCAGGGTCATGAGATCGAGCTCCACATCAAGCTCTGTGCTCAGTATAGAGTCTGCTTGGAATGGTCTCTCACCTTCTGCCCGTCCCCTGACTTGCATGCACACACTGTCTCTCTGAATAAATAAAATCTTTAAAAAAATAATAACAATAGGGACGCCTGGGTGGCTCAGTGGATTAAAGCCTCTTTGCCTTTGGCTCGGGTCATGATCTCAGGGTCCTGGGATCGAGCCCCGCATCAGGCTCTCCACTCAGCGGGGAGCCTGCTTCCCTTTCTCTCTCTTCCTGCCTCTCTACCTGCTTGTGATCTTCCCTCTGTGTGTGTGTCAAATAAATAAATAAAATCTTAAAAAAAAAAAACAAAAAACAGAACAGACCTATAGACTAATAGAACAGAGTAGAAAAAACCCCAGGAAAAAACATTTCATGTATATGGTCAGTTGATTTTTGAAAAGAGAGCCAAAACCGTTCAATAAAAAAGATCATACTTTTCAACAAATGGTATTGGAAAACTGGGTATCTACTACAAAAGAATAAAGTTGGACTTTTACCCTGCTCTCCATATGTGAAAATAAACTCAGAATGGGTAAAAGACCAAAATAAACTTGAAATTTG